CCATGGCACCAGCTCCTAAGCCTGGAAAAGACACAACAGAGAAAGAAAACTACATACCTATCTCCCTGATGAACATAGATGCAAAAATACTCAACAAAATTCTTGCAAACCGAATCCAACTGCACATCAGAAAGATCATTCACCTGGACCAAGTGGGATTTATCCCTGGTATGCAGGGATGGTTCAATATTCAAAAGTCAATCAATGTAATACATCACATTAATAAATTGAGAAACAAAAATCATATGATTATCTCAATAGATGCAGAGAAAGTGTTTGACAAAATACAACACCCTTTTGTGATGAAAACCCTAAGCAAATTGGGGTTAGAAGGAACATTCCTCAACACAATTAAGGCGGTCTATGATAAACCAATGGCCAGCATCATATTGAATGGGGAAAAGTTGGAGGCATTTCCATTGAAAACTGGCATCAGACAGGGATGCCCGCTCTCACTATTGCTATTTGATATAGTCCTAGAAGTGTTAGCCAGGGCCATCAGGCAAGAAAAAGAAATTAAAGGGACACAAATGGGAAAGGAGGAAGTTAAGCTATCCCTATTTGCAGATGACATGATACTATATATAGGGGACCTGATAAACTCCTATAAGAGACTATTGGAACTCATAGAAGAGTTTGGTAAAGTATCAGGATACAAAATCAACGCTCAGAAATCAACAGCCTTTGTATACACAGATAATGCCAGGGCCGAGGAAGAACTTCTAAGATCAATCCCATTCACGATAGCCACAAAAACAATAAAGTACCTTGGAATAAATTTAACCAAGGATGTCAAAGACCTCTATGATGAAAATTGCAAAACACTAAAGAAAGAAATAGAAGACGACGCAAAAAAATGGAAAAACCTGCCATGCTCATGGATTGGAAGAATCAATATTATCAAAATGTCCATTCTCCCAAAAGCAATTTACAAGTTCAATGCAGTACCAATCAAAATACCAAAGTCATTCTTCAAAGACCTAGAAAAAACGATGCTGAAATTCATATGGAGAAACAGGAGACCGAGAGTAGCTAAAGCAATCCTTTACAATAAAAACAAGGCCGGAGGCATCACAATTCCAGACTTCAAGACATACTACAGGGCAGTTATAATCAAAACAGCCTGGTACTGGTACAAAAACAGATGGATAGAACAATGGAACAGAATAGAAACACCGGAGATCAATCCAAACATCTATAACGAACTCATATTTGACAAAGGACCTAAAACCAATCCCTGGAACAAGGACAGCCTCTTCAACAAATGGTGCTGGGAAAACTGGATGTCCACATGTCTAAATATGAAGCAAGACCCCTACCTTACACCTTATATAAAAATCCACTCAACATGGATCAAAGAACTAGAGATGTGCCACGACACCATGAAACTAATTGAGAGCATAGGGGAAGCCCTTCAAGATATTGGAACAGGCGAAGAATTCTTGGAGAAGACCCCAGAGGCATGGGTAATCAAAGATAAAATAAACAAATGGGATTACCTCAAATTGAAGAGTTTCTTTACAGCAAAGGAAACAGTCAGGAAAGTGAAGAGGCAACCAACAGAATGGGAGACATTATTCGCAAACTACACAACAGATAAAGGGTTAACAACTAGAATCTATAAAATGATCAAAAAACACCACAAAATCAAAACAAACAACCCAATAAAAAAATGGGCCAAGGACCTTAACAGACATTTTTCAAAAGAGGAAATCCAAATGGCCAACAGACACATGAAAAAATGCTCAGGATCCCTAGCCATCAGGGAAATGCAGATCAAAACCACAATGAGGTTTCACCTCACTCCGGTTAGATTGGCTCACATACAGAAATCAACCAACAACAGATGCTGGTGAAGATGTGGGGGAAAAGGGACACTAATCCACTGTTGGTGGGAATGCAAACTGGTAAAGCCACTATGGAAGACAGTTTGGAGAGTCCTCAGAAACCTGAATATAGCACTACCAGAGGACCCAGCCATCCCACTCCGTGGAATTTACCCAAATGGAATTAAAGGGGAGAAAAAAAAAGAGCCATTTGCCCTCAATATTTGTTGCAGCTCAATTCACAATAGCTAAGACATGGAATCAACCTAAATGTCCAGCAACGGATGACTGGATAAAGAAACTATGGGGCCGGCACCGCGGCTCAATTAAGTTTATCTTCTTAGGCGCGCCCGGACTAGAACCTGGTGTGCCGACGTCGGCACACCAGGTTCTAGTCCCGGTCCGGGCGCCAGATTCTGTCCCGGTTGCCCCTCTTCCAGGCCAGCTCTCTGCTGTGGCCCGGGAGTGCAGTGGAGGATGGCCCAAGTCCTTGGGCCCTGCACCCCATGGGAGACCAGGAGAAGTACCTGGCTCCTGCCATCAGATCAGCGCAGTGTGCCGGCCGCAGTGCGCCGGCCCCAGCGGCCATTGGAGGGTGAACCAACAGCAAAAGGAAGACCTTTCTCTCTGTCTCTCTCTCTCACTGTCCACTCTGCCTGTCAAAAAAAAATATATGGAATATGTACTCTATGGAACACTATACAGCAGTAAAAAACAATGAAATCCGGGCATTTACAACAAAATGGAGGAAGCTGGAAAACATCATGCTGAGTTAAATAAGCCAGTCCAAAAGGGATAAATATCATATGTGCTCCCAGATCGATGGCAACTAAACGAGCATCTAAAATGATACCCATTGAAGTGAAATGGACACTATGAGAGACAATGACATGATCAGCCCTTGTCTAGACTGTTGAGGAACAACTTACTATTTTATTCCTTTTAGTATTTTTGTTGTTGTTGTTGTTGCTCTGTTTGTTCTACATAAGAACACTGGTTGAACTCTGTAATCAATGCACAATCATTCTTAGGCGTTTAAAATTAACAGAAAAGTGATCTCTGTTAAACATAAGAGTGGGAATAAGAGAGGGAGGAGATATATAGGTTGGCACATGCTCACTCAGACTTATCTCCAGTGGTGGAACTAGAAATGTGCCAGGGGATTTCAACTCAGTCTTACCAAGGAGGCAGGTACCAACCAATGCCAGAACACTTGGTAAAGTGATAAGTATAAATACACAACCGATCAAAAAGATAGGGTATGTGTCGATGAGATTTCACAAATAAGACCAGTGTAAGCAACTAATGAAGGATAGAATTAAAAGGGAGAGAATGATCCTGCGGGGGAAACAGGACACACAGCAGACTCATAGAATGGCAGCCCTCCTGCCTCAGAATCAACCCTTGGGACATTCAGATCTGGCTAAAAGGCCCATGAGAGTCTCACAGGCATGGGAAGCCATGACACGGTGGCAAAAAACAATCTAAATGAAAGATCCTGGTGAACAAGACCCCAGCAGAAGGAACAGGCCATCAAGGAGAGAGGCGCCTTTCTCTGAAGGGAGGAAGGAACCTCCACTGTGATACGGCCTTGACTAAACAAGTTCAGAGTCGGTGAACTCAAGGGGCTTCCATAGCCTAGACAGCTCATAGCAAGAGTCTTGGGTGATTGCTGACGTCATAAATAAGAGTGCCAATTGTTAAATCAACAACGGGAGTCACTGGGTACATGCTCCCACGTAGGATCTCTGTCCTTAATGTGTTTTACTATGAAACTTAAAAACAACACTACTAGTCGAACAATACCCTATACCTTGTGCGGATGTGTGAGTACAGCCTGTTGAAATCTTTGCTTAGTATATACTAAGTTGATCTTCAGTATACGAAGGTAATTGAAAATGAAACTCGATGAAGGGCGGGGTGGGAGACGGAGTGGGAGAGGGGAGGGCCATGGGAGGGAGGGAGGTTGGGGGGGAGCCACAACAATACAAAAGTTGCACTTTGTAAATTCACATTTATTAAATAAAAAATAACTATATAACAAACAAAAAAAGAACTTAATACTTTACCCTTTTAGTATTTTTTATGTTCTACTTAAAACTATTGGTTGAACTCTGTAATTAATACACAATTACTCTTAGGTATTTAATTAATGCTATAACTAGTACTCAAATAGTATTTTACACTTTGTGTTTTTGTGTGGGTGCAAACTGTTGAAATCTTTACTTAATATATGCTAAATTGATCTTCTGTATGTAAAGATAATTGAAAATTAATCTTGGTGTGAATGGAAGGGGAGAGGGAGTGGGAGAGGGGAGTGTTGTGGGTGGGAGGTAAGTTATGGGTGGGGGGAAGCTATTGTAATCCATAAGCTGTACTTTGGAAATTTATGTTCATTAAATAAAATAAAATATATGAAAAGAGTGCAGGGATAACAACCAATCTGAGGTCAAGAATAACAACCAATCAAAATGCCAGAATAGCAGCCAATCAAAGGGGAGGGTTTTCAATCAAAGACCTGAAAGTGTATGCTAATATGGTATGGTATGTGAACCAATCAGAGAACTTAAATGTGAATGCGTTCAGGCTACATGAACCAATCAGTGAACTGTCATTGGAGTAGCCTGCTTTCAGCAGAAATGGGACTTGTTCTCAATCAGGTTCGTGAGGCAGCTTCACCATCTGAAGTTGTGCTTCTGGAGAATTAAATCATGTATCTTTATGGTTTTCTTGCCTATCCAGGGTCCCGTGGAATCCCTATTATTACAATCAGAATTTTTTCTTAACATTTCAGGCAGGCGGGCATTGTGGCATAGAGCGTTAAGTCCCCACCTGAGACGCTTTATCCCAAATAGGTGCAGGTTTGCAGCCATTTGGGCAGTTATCTAGTGGTTTGAAGCTTTCTCTCTCTCAACTCTAACATTCACATAAATAAATCTTTTTTAAAAGGCGAGAAAGTCCATATGTTTAAAATAGCTTTGTTGAAATTATTTAAACATATTGACTTATATTTCCTTTTGTCTAATAAAATGTAGGCGATGTCTTTAAGGACAGTATTTTGTCCCCTCAGAGCAGTTGCCTTCGAGGGTGTGTAAAATAGCGCACATGTTTGCGCGCGCTCTGGATTGTTTGCTGGAAACGTACCCGGATGTGCTGCCAGGCGCTGGCGTTTACCCATAAGGCAGCGCGCACGCCTATAAATTCGCTGCGTTCGCTGAGGCGCTCAGTGCCCGCAAGGGGACTCCCTGGCCGCCAGTCCTTTTGGCGGCCTCTCAGCGCTTTGGCGCTCCTCCCTTTCCTCCCCTGAGCCCCAGTTGGCTGATCTCCGCTATTGGTAAGCGCTCCCCGCCCCCGTGTCGCTGGTACCGGCGGCGGTTCTCCCGCGCAGCCGTGGCCGCTGTTCTGTGAGGCGGGCGGGCTGAGGGGCTCGTTGCCGGCGCTGGTCGCCGCAACCGCCCGGGGTGCGGGTGAGGGGCTGGGCCGTGAGGCGGGCGGGCGGGCTGAGGGGCTCGACGCCGGCGCCGATCGCCGCAACCACCCGGGGTGCGGGTGAGGGGCCGGGCCGTGAGGCGGGCGGGCGGGCTGAGGGGCTCGACGCCGGCGCGGGTCGCCGCAACCGCCGGGGGTGCGGGTGAGGGGCCGGGCCGTGAGGCGAGCGGGCTGAGGGGCTCGACGCCGGCGCGGGTCGCCGCAACCGCCGGGGGTGCGGGTGAGGGGCCGGGCCGTGAGGCGAGCGGGCTGAGGGGCTCGACGCCGGCGCGGGTGGTCGCAGCGGCCGGGGGTGCGGGTGAGGGGCTCGACGCCGGCGTGGGGGCCGGGCCGTGAGGCAGGCGGGCTGAGGGGCTCGACGCCGCCGCGGGTCGCCGGGGGTGCGGGTGAGGGGCCGGGCCGTGAAGCGGGCGGGCTGAGGGGCTCGACGCCGGTCGCCGCAACGGCCCGGGGCGTGGGTGAGGGGCCGGGCTTCGCGGCACGGCGGCGGGTGGGCCACCATCTTGAGACGACCCTGAGGAGGCGGAGAAGGGATTTGGGGGGGAAAGTAGCTGGCGGGCGGGGGGTGTTGGGGCCGAGGCTTCGCGGCTGCCGCGGCGGCCGGTGACGCTGAGGAGTCCCTAGCTTGTGGCTTTTCTGTCTCGGGGCAGCTCCCTCTGGTCTTTCGTACGCTTGGCGGCAGCGTTTGATGGAGACCCGCCCACCTGAGTCTCCTCAGTCCTAGGCTAAGACGCGAGAGGGGAGTCGGAACTTTGAAGCGGCAGAGCTCCTCGGGCCCCTTCCCCTCCACCCCACCCCGGGTTCCCCCACCCAGGTTATGGCCATTCTGTGCGGACTGCCTTGTTTTTTACAAAGCCATTCCCATCTCTCGGGGAAGTTGGCGTTGCGTTCCGTTATTGTCCCGAGGCTAAGAGCCCTGAGGAGAAACGTGGCGTTCGATCCATTGTTGTTTTCTAAGAGTGATGTTCGCGGCTTTGCTATAAGAGAGTGAAGTGTGTGTGTGTGTGTGTGTGTGTGTGTGTATCTTTCTGAGGCTATCTCTTGCTGTGGAGATAGAGGGTATTCCTCTCAACTTACCTCAGGTTTTAATGCTTTTTAGGGGAAAATGTCAAGTGAGCGTGCTTCTGCAAGCATGGGAGAACTTTAAGGAATTCTTTGTTTGGAAAGATTTTCAGTTTTTTTTTTTTTTTAATCTGTGAGCCTAAATTTATGGCTTTATTGTTTCATGTTTGGACTGTGGGTTGTAATGTCTTTTAGTGTCATTAAACGTAAAAACCTAAAGTAGAATTTTAAAGTACAAAAATCACGTATTTGTGAGGTGTTTTGATTTGGATGTTACTGTGCAAACTCAGGCTAGCTCCTTAAGCCGAGACGGAGCCTGTAAAGGCACTGATTGGCTGTGTAACTGTTTTCCAAGAAAACATCTATATGAATTGCGTTCACCCTCGTATCTTTTTTTTTAAGGTTTTGAGAGGTAGAGTTAAAGACAGTGAGAGGGAGGGACAGAGAGAGAGGTCTTCCTTCCACTGGTTCACTCCCCAAATGGCCGCAACGGCCAGAGCTGTGCCAATCCGAAGTCGGGAGCCAGGAGCTTCTGTGTCTCCCACGCGGGTGCAGGGGCCCAAACACTTGGGCCATCTTTCACCGTTTTCCCAGGCCATAGCAGAGAGCTAGATCGGAAGGGGAGCAGCTGAGACTTGAACCAGTGGCACAGCGGCCGCCCCCACCCTTGTATCTTGCATTTGTATATTTCATTGATACCTCCCCTTTTGAGGTGGGCTGTGGGGTGGTAACAGAACTTTTTGAAGGTGAATAAACAATCTCAAGGAGAGGACTTTACTGAGGTCATAGGAAGTAATGGAGCCAATTCTTGAACCTAAGCTCTCTGACCCTCGTGTGATGCTTAATTCACTATTATGCTCAACTTTTTCTGGGAGTGAGGTGGTTGCATAAAATAAGCAGGGAGGCTCACCTAAAAATTACAAGAAATATTATTCATGGACCGGCGCTGTGGCATAAGCATTAAAGCTGCCACCTGCAGTGCTGGCATCCCATATGGGTGCAGGTTCAAGTCCTGGCTGCTCCACTTCCGATCCAGCTCTCTGCTATGGCCTGGGAAAGCAGTAGAAGATGGCCCAAGTCCTTAGAGTCCTTAGGCCCCTGCACCCGTGTGGGAGACCCAGAGGAAGCTCCTGGCTTCTGATCAGCGCATCTCCGGCCGTTTTGGCCAGTTGGGGAGTGAACCAGCAGATGGAGGACTCCTCTCTCTCTCTGTCTCTCTCTCTCTGTCTCTCTCTCTCTCTCTCTCTGCCTCTCCTCTGTGTAACTCTGACTTTCAAATAAATAAGTAAATCTTAAAAGCAACTGAAAAAATTCTATAAAAGTAGCAAGATTCTGAAAAAATCTTTGAAAAAAACATTTACATGGATTGCAAATATTGATACTCAGCACAGAAGAAACAAACATTTCAATATTATATATATAAATATATGTAATTATATATAATAATAGAAATCACTACAAGCTAATATAAACACTTTAAATGAAAATGATTTTCCTAAAACAAAAAGCCTAGTACAAGGTGGCACTAATTTACTATTTTGCAAATATGTTTAATATCTTTCTTAATAAAGGACAATGGATTTTCTTAGCCTCTGAAAATTTTTTGTTCAAAAAGAAGTATACTATGGCTAAATTCTTATTTAATAACTAATAAGGTTCTCACGATTCCTTTAGTCCCAGATAAATTGTTTCCAAAGTAAATTAAAAATATAAGAAGTAAATATGGTCCATTGTACCCAAAAGGTACATAGTGATGACTGCTTTTCCTGATATACTGAAGAGTTAATAGGGATACTCTTTAAAAGAAAACCACTTCACAGAGAATGAATCAAAAGTTTAGACATGCATTTTGGATTCACATTCCTAAGTTTTCCTGAATCAATTTTAAAACAGGGGTGGGGAATGTCTGGCCAGTGGACCAAATAAGTCCCGTGAAATCATTTGGTCTCGTCCACGCAAGGCAACCATAGGCAGGATTCGAAATTCAGACATATCTATCGCAGGATCTCCTACGTGGGAGCAGGGTCCCAAGGACTTGGGCCATTCTCTGCTGCGTTCCCAGGCACACTAGCAGGTGGCGGGATCAGAAGTAGAGCAGCCAGGACTCAAACCGGCAGTGCCCATATGGGACGCGGAGGCTTAACCTGCTACACCACAATACCAGCACTCCATGTAAACATTTTTTAAGAGTAAAGAGGTTCTGAGCCAAGAGTTTGAGAACTTACCTAACGCAGCTTGTTTGTGACAGTATTTTTAAAAGATTTGTGTATTTTATTTTTAAAGTCAGAATTACAGATAGAAAGAAGGTAGTCTGAAAAGCCTGAGTGGATAATGGCGTCAAACATGGCTAGCTCCAGGTGTTTAAATGGTATCAAGACTTGAATGCCTCCCTGTCTTTTTTCTCTTTTCCAGAGCTGCTTCTGGGTCTCCCACGTGGGTGGCAAGAGGTCCAAGCACTTGGACCATTTTCCACTGTTTTTCCCAGGCCATTAGCAAGGAACTGGATCAGAAGTAGAGCAGCCAGGATGTGAATCAGTGCTGGCACTTTTTTACATATAGTGGCGCTCTCTGGCCCATTTCTGAAAACCGAATCCAGATTTAAACAATCAAGGGAGGAGTAGAACAACTACCAATCAGGAAGTCAGAATAACAGCCAATCAGTGGGCAGGGAAAGCAATCAGAATGATAATAACAGAACTGAAAGTGTATGTTAATAAGACATGCTGTATGATTCTAACTATGTAATCTTATGGAGACATAGATGAAAAGCTTTAGTGGATAATCGGATTCAAACACGGCTAGCTTCAGGTGTTTAAATGGTATCATCAAGACTTGAATGCCTCCCTGTCTTCCCTTTCTCTTTCCCAGAATCTGATGGCTTTGTTCTCTTTTTTGGCTTCTTTTTTTAATGAATTAAACTGTGAGGAAATTTATCCACCTAATTTTCTATACTTTTCAGTTAGTTGATATGTAAAAACTAAACTTATTTACTTTTTTTAAAGATTTATTTATTTGAAAGAGTTAAATAGAGAGGTAGAGCCAGAGAGTGAGAGAGATAGGTCTTCCATCCACTGGTTCACTCCCCAAATGGCTGCAACAGCCAGAGCTGGGCTGATCCAAAGCCAGGAGCTTCTTCTGGGTCTCCCACGTGGGTGCAGGGCCCCAAGCACTTTGGCCATCTTCTGCTTTCCCAGGCCATAGCAGAGAGCTGGATCAGAAGTGGAGCAGCCAGGACTCCATCCAGCACCCATATGGGATGCTGGTGCTGCAGGCCAGGGCTTTAACCCACTGTGCTGCAGTGCCAGCCCCTAAAAAATGTATTTCAACATATATTATAGTAATAACATTTATTTCTGAAATGTTAAGAATGTCATTTAGTATGTCAAAATCCAGATTTACTAAAATATTTTGCAGAGTAATTACTCATTTTTACATAAAGATGCCTTTTAAAGTTTATTTTTACTTTACTTCATCAGATTTCTTCATGTAGTAAATGCTACTACTTATTTAGTATTCAGCATTCTATTTACTAAATTTGCATTATTTCAGGAATGACCCAATTCCAGGAAGTGCATTACATATCAAACTTAAAAAGTAAGCTTTTGTAGGACAGAAAGATTAAATGTGTGTACCTTTAATTTAACAAAGTCCATTCTAATAGTATCTTTGTTTTATAGGGCGGAAAACTAAGACTTTACTGCTGCCTTCCCTGAGTCAGAGTAAGTTTATTGGAAATTAAAATTAGACCCAAATGTTTCTGAATCGGGTTTCATGTTTCAATATTTAGTGTGACTTAATGTGACTAGTAAAATTGATTGATGTCATGTGTTGGTACTTAGGTGACTCGGCAACCTCATGGATAATAACAACCCCCCAAAAAGTAAGTATAGTGTTGCAATTGATACTAATATGCATTGCTTTTGTAAGAGACAGGGGTGGGCACATTTTCTTTAAAAACAAAACAAACTTGGATTTATTTATTATCTACTCATAAAAATGAACAATATGCAATAAAAATGTCAGTAAATTTGAAATGTTCTTACTCATCCCCAGAGATAAATATTATAAGTGTGGTTTGCATAATCATAAATTTTTTTCTAATGCATAGACTAAAATATGTGATTTCTAAATAAGATCATACTATAGAGTGCTTTTTCATATCTTCTAAAATTTTTTACTCAAAAATATATCTTTATTGTTTAAACAGTGGCAATCCCCAGTTACAAAGAATGAGAAAGAGGCTGGCACTGTGGCATAGTGGGCTAAAGCCTCCACCTGTGGCACCAGCATCCCATATGGACGCTGGTTCGAGTGCCAGCTGCTGCTCCTCTTTTTCTTTTTCTTTTTTTTTTTTTTAAGATTTATTTCTTTATTTGACAGAGTTACACAGAGAGAAGGAGAGGCAGAGACAGAGATCTTCCATCCACTGGTTCACTGAAGCCAGGAGCTTCTTCCAGGTCTCCCACATGGGTGCAGGGGCCCAAGGACTTGGAACATCATCATCATCTACTGCTTTCCTAGTCCATAGCAGAGAGCTGGATTGGAAGTGGAGCAGCCGGGACTTGAACCAGTGCCCATATGAGATGCCAGCACCACAGGCGGCGGCTTTACCCGCTATGCCACAGTGCCAGTCCCCAGGTTGCTCCTCTTCTGATATAGCTCTCTGCTATGGTCTGGAAAAGCAGTAGAAGATGGCTCAATTGCTTGGGCCCTTACACCCACAAGGGACCCAGAAGACGCTCCTGGCTTTGGATCAGCCCAGCTCCGGCCGCTACAGCCACTTAGGGAGTGAACCAGCAGATGAGAGACCTCTCTCTCTGTCTCATTCTGTAACTCTACCTCTCAAAATAATTTAATACATAAAATATTTTGTAAAAAAGAATGAGGAGGGGCCGGCGCCATCCGCAGTAGGTTAATCCTCCGCCTGCAGTGTTGGCATCCCATATGGGCGCCAGTTCTAATCCTGCCTGCTGCTCTTCCAGTCCAGCTCTCTGCTATGACCTGGGAAAGTAGTGGAGGATGGCCCAAGTCCTTGGGCCCCTGCACCCACGTGGGAGACCAGGAAGAAGCACCTGGCTCCTGGCTTCAGATCGGCAAAAGCTCCGACTGTTGCGGCCATTTGGGGAGTGAACCAATGGACTGAAGACCTTTCTCTTTGTCTCTCCCTCTCAATGTCTGTAACTCTACCTCTCAAATAAATAAATAAAATTTTAAAAAGAATGAGGAAGACTCATGTGTCTAACAGAGTATCAACATGAATATAAACTTTTTTAATTATCAGTATACATAGATCTCTTTAAATTTGACATTGTCCAAATTGGCCAAGTTTCTTAGCCTATATGTAGGAGGAATTATAAAGGAAGAAAAACATTTTTTTTCACTCAAGAAACTTCAAAGTTGAGTGCAATTAAGAAGCATTAAAAAAATAAGAGCAGTTGTTGTGCAGTGGTTAAGATGCCATTTGGGAGGCTGACTCGAGTCCTTACTACTTTATTTCCAATCTAACTTATTGACTATGTATCCTGTTAGGCAGCAGATGATTACTTAAGTACTTGGGTCCCTGCCACCCACATGGGAAACTTTGATAGAGTTCTGGACTCCCTGGCTCTGGCCTGGCCCAGCCTTGGCTATTGTGGGCATTTGGAGAGTAAACCTGTGGATAGAAGAACTCTCTCTCCCCCTCTTTTCTGCCTTTTGAGTGGATGAAAATAAATATTTTTTAAAAATGTACTTTATTGGGACCGGCACTGTGGTGTAGCGGGTAAAGCCACCGCCTGCAGCATCCCACATGGTCGCCGGTTTGAAACCCAGCTGCTCCACTTCCAGCTGGTCCACTTCCCATCCAGCTCTCTGCTATGGCCTGGGAAAGCAGTAGAAGATGGCCCAAGCCCTTGGGCCCTTCTCTCACGTGGGAGACCTGGAGGGAAGCTCCTGGCTCCTGGCTTCAGATTGACACAGCTCCAGCCATTGTAGCCAATTGGGGAGTGAACCAGTGGATGGAAGACCTCTTTCTCTCTGCCTCTGCCTCTCTGTGTAACTCTGACTTTCAAAGTAAATCTTTTTTAAAAAGTGCTTTATTTATTTGAAAGGCAGAGTAGGAAAGAGACAGAGAAAAAGATCTTCCATCCATTGGTTGGTTCCGCCAAATAACTGCAACAGCTGGGGCTGGGCCAAGCCCAAGTCAGGAGCCTAGAACTCTATCTGGGTCTTCCACTGCTTTCCCAGGTACATTGGCAGGACGCTGAATTCCGAAAGCGGAGCCACAGGGACTCCAGCTGATACTTGGGTATAGAATGCCAGTGTCACAAGCAGCAACCTAACCCACTGCACCACAATACCCACCCCTAGCTAACTAATTATTAGTTTAGATCTAAGAGATTGAGTCTGGAGTGTCTTATTTTTGCTGCCATGTACTGAGTACAAATATCAGTTCAATGATTGTTTTTAAGATTATTAAAGTATATCTTAAATATTGCAAAAAAAGTATTTTTCTTTAAAATAAGATTTACTTTTTCCTTTTGAAAATTAGATAATCCAAAAGGGGCCGAACTCTTCATGGAATGTGAAGAGGAAGAGCTGGAACCATGGCAGAAAAAAGCAGAAGAAACTTCAGATGATGATGAGCTAATCTTCGTTAAAGAGATATCAAATTCAAAAACTGCCATTTCAAGTAAGCATTTTCAGTGAAGTTTCATTACATAGTTGTTGGTTGTTTCTAATAGGAAAACCTGTGGGTTGTTTTATATTCTTTGATGTACTTGCTCTTCTGTAAGGAGTGAAGTTGGGATGGTAGGTAAAGGTCAGTAAGAACTTGTGAGAATCAGAGTAGGGATATGGTTGGGGACCAGGGTAAGAGGTGACAGGCTAAAATATCAGATTGAGAAAAGGAAAATAATTTAACTTAGGGTAAAGATTGCCTGACAGCATTATGGGCATTTTGCAATTGAAAATGTTATTTTAAATTTAAGTCTTGGGAGCTGGTGCTGTGGCATAGTAGACTAAGCCTCCGTCTGGGGTGCCACCATCCCATATGGGTGCCAGTGCATGTCCTGGCTGCTCCTCTTCTGATCCAGCTCTCTGCTTATGGCCTGGGAAAGCAGTAGAAGATAGCCAAACTGCTTGGGCCCCTGCACCTGTGTGAGAGATCTGGAAGAAGCCTCTCTAGCTCCTGGCTTTGGATCAGCCCAGCTCCAGCTGTTGAGGCCATTTGAGGAGTGAACCAGTGGATGGAAGATCTGTCCCTGCCTCTATCCCTGCCTCTGACTTTCTCCCGGCTTCTGCCTCTGACTCTCTGTAACTGCTTTTCAAATGAATGAATAAATCTTAAAAATAGACTTCTATTATTGGCTGTGTATAGACATACTTTTAGAAAGGTCTTTCTATAATATATATTTCATTAACATAACAATTTTACAAATAAAACAATTCTTCTAGATATGTTGAACAGAAGTAACTCCAGCTCATCCTCAAAGGGAATAAAGAATGAGTCACTCCAAGTATACTGCTGGTATACTATTTTAATTTTAAAGTGAAGTACTTTGATAATTTGGTTATATAGAAATATATTCAGTCTATTGTATAATTTTAAAATGCAGGTAATTCTGATGAATTGCAGTCTCTAAGTTCTATGTCTACCTTGCTTTTGTGTCCGCCTGACTCAAAATCTACAGACAGCATTGCAACTCAGGTAAGTGTCCGTGAAATTACACAGGTAGTTCAAAGACATGTTGAATATAATACTGAGTTAAAATTGTGACCATCAGAAAATGTCAGCATCTTTGATATATCTCAGCCAATACCCAAAGCAGTAGCTATAGAAACTAATTATCCAGTAAATCAGATATAGGTATTGAAAACTGTGCTCTCAAAACATGAGAAAAAGGGTACAATTACAATATTGCATGGCAACATTTTTAAGATCCTAAAATGAACCAAGTGGGAAGATCATCCCAAAGTCATTGTTGCTATTTATTTGTGAAAACATTCCTTCTTAGTTTTAAAAATACAACAAAAGTAATAAGTGAGAATAGCTAACATTCATTTGACTGTTAATATATGTAATTCTTTGTGCTAAATGCTATATAGAAACTAATATTTTTAATTCTTATGATATCCCTATGAGATAGGCACTATTACTATCCCCATTTTATAGTTGAATACTGAAGATCAGAGAGGACAAATAATTCACTTAAGACCACACAGCTAATAAATGATGGATCTAGGCTTTTAATCCAGTTTAACCTGGGATTTTAGAAACATGCCTAGGGGCCAGCGCTGTGGCATAGAAGGTTAAACCTCTGCCTGCAGTGTTGGTATCACATAAGGATGCCGGTTCCAGTCCCAGATGCTCAACTTCAGATCCAGCTCCCTGCTGATGTGCCTGGAAAAGCAGCAGAAGATGGCTCAAGTACTTGGGCCCCTGCACCTACATGGGAGACCCTGAAGAAGCTCCTGGCTTTGGCCTGGCCCAATTGCGGCCACTTGAGGAGTAAACCAGCACATGGAAAATCAATATCTCTCTCTCTCTTTCTGCTTGTCTGTAACTCTAACTTTCAAATACATAAATCTTTAAAAACTGCCTATACAGGGCCGGCGTTGTGGCATAGCAGGTAAAGCTGCCGCCTGCAGTGCTGGCATCCCATATGGGTGCCGGTTCGAGTCCCGGCTGCTCCACTTCCGATCCAGCTCTCTGCTATGGCCTGGGAAAGCAGTAGAAGATGGCCCAAGTCTTTGGGCCCCTGCACCTGCGTGGGAGACCCAAAAGAGGCTCCTGGCTTCGGGTCGGCGCACCTCCAGCTGTTGCGGCCAACTGGGGAGTGAGCCAGCGGACGGAAGACCTCTCTCTCTGTCTCTGCCTCTCCTTCTCTCTCTGTGTAACTCTTTCAAGTAAATAATAAATTAATCTTTAAAAAATGCCTATACACATATCCATCCATAATTTAAGTATGTGTTTTTAAAAATGGAAGCATTGCCCAAGAGCAATGATATCGTCAGTCTACAGAGTCTTGACATTTGCTGAAACTTGCTTAGGGTCCACAAGTTTAAAAATTTAGTCATAACAGACATTTGCCCTTTTCAGTGTGTTGACATTTTAAAACTCTCAAGTGACTACAATATGCAGCAACAGATACATATTCTTGAATAAATTGGGAAACCCAAGTAAGGGAATTTTCTCTAATTTTTTTAAACTATTCTGTTTACCTCAACAACCCCTTCAGGGAGGGAGGTGATTATTAGCTCTTTTGAAGCCAGTGTGATATGCCTAAGGGCATGGGCAATGTAAGATAATACTAGATCTTTTTTAATACTGTAGTGACAACTACTTGATAAAATACATGTACTATGAGAGTTGAGTACATTCTAAATACACAATTATTGGTTGCTATTATTTCAGTTAGAAAGGTAAATAATTTGAGGCTCAGAAGTGACTTGCCAAGATTATGTAAATAGGCTGGAATTCAGATAACCTGTCTATCTGCTGCTTTACCTCATTATATTTTGTATCTTTCTGAACTATTTTGAAGAGACATAAGATATTCTGACTAAAATTATTTTAGCAAGTTATTTATTGACTGATGTGTCTGCTCTCTGAAATTATGGTACTTAACCTCAGAAAGGTCTTAAAGTACTTATTTTAAGGAATTTCTATTAAAGAACCTTTTTTTGGAAATTTTAAGTGAATGTTCTTTTAATATTTTTAAAAATATTTATTTGAAATAGTGATAGAGACAGAGCTGGTTCACTTCCCAAATGGCCGTGGCTTGTCTAAGCCAAATCCAGGAGCCTGGAGCCACATCTGGGTCTCCCACATGGGTGGTAGGGACTCAAACACTTGAGCTATCATCCTCTACTACCTTCCCAGGCACATTAGAAGGGAGCTGGATCAGAAGCCAAGCATCCAGGAACTGAACCAGCATTCCACTATGGGTTGCTGGCTCACAAAAGGCAGCTTACCTCACAACACTTGCACTGCAACACAACACTTGCCCCTGTTTTCCTTTTTTTCCTAAGATTTATTTATTTGAAAATCGGAGTTACACAGAGAGAAGGAGAGTCAGAGAGAGGTCTTCCATCAGCTGGTTCACGCCCCAGTTGGCCGCAGTGGCCAGAGCGGTGCCGATCAGGAGCTTCTTTCGGGTCTCCCATGCAGATGCAGGGGCCCAAGGACTTGGGCCATCCTCTGCTGCTTTCCCAGGCCATAGCAGAGAGCTGGATCAGAAGTAGAGCAGCTAGGATTTGAACTGGCGCCCATATGGGGTGCCGGCGCTCCAGGCAGCAGCCTTAACCACTATGCCACAGCGCTGACCTGTTTTCCATTTTTTAAGCGCAAATATTTAAACTATATACCCCACAATAAGATCCTGCTTAGTTACAAATGAGGCAACCGTTATTGCTTTTATACAATATACATTAAAGCTCAAATGTAGAAATGGGCTTTTTAGACCTCAAATTCTAAGGATGGAATAATTTTGGGTCATCTCAATATGTCTCTTAACTTCTTGACAAACTTGTCATTAGAAAACTTAGTAGCAAAATAAAATTCTTGAAACCTAATCACCTCTGAACTTGTAAACACAAAACAAGCAAGCAAAATCTTTATATTCTCATTGTAAAAGTAATGTGTATGAGGGCCGGCGCCGCGGCTCACTAGGCTAATCCTCCGCCTAGCGGCGCCGGCACACCGGGTTCTAGTCCCGGTCGGGGCGCCGGATTCTGTCCCGGTTGCCCCTCTTCCAGTCCAGCTCTCTGCTGTGGCCAGGGAGTGCAGTGGAGGATGGCCCAGGTGCTTGGGCCCTGCACCCCACGGGAGACCAGGAAAAGCACCTGGCTCCTGGCTCCTGCCACCGGATCAGCGCGGTGCGCCTGCCGCGGCGGCCATTGGAGGGTGAAGCAACGGCAAAGGAAGACCTTTCTCTCTGTCTCTCTCTCTCACTGTCCACTCTGCCTGTCAAAAAAAAAAAAAAAAAGTAATGTGTATGAGAGGGTGAGTTAGAAAAAGAGAATACATACTGTATTTTGATTTTTGTTTTTCTATAGATGGGTAGTCTGAAACAAAATCAGTAGGAATCAATTTATTTAACCATTCTTCTCTTGTTAGGCAAATAGGTTTTTAGATTTTTGCTAGTATAAGTAATTCCCATTAAACACTTTCAGATTCACAGCATAAATTCTTAGAAGAGGAATGATTGGACTAATTGGATGAAAGTATCTGAACTTTTAAAGCCCTTGATAAAAACTGCCAAGTTTCTTGCAGTAAATTTGTACCAAAATATAACCACCTACTTTGCTAGTATTATTACTTTTAACTTTTTATACCAAACAACTTTAGAACAAAAAATAATGCAGAGTTCCTACATACCCCTCATCCAGTAGATGCTAATTATAGCTAAACTTTGTGTTTTATAACTCACTAGTGACTGTCATTAAAGTTATAAAGTATTGACATACAGTGAAATTTACCTTTATAGTAAAATCTATAAAACAAAATTATAATTTTTTGCAGGATTATACGGGGCACTTACAACAAACTCATTTGGATGATTCTTCAGACTTACGATCTGACCTGACCCAGGATGCAGTACCAGAGTCCCCAAGCATATCAAATATTCTTCCAGAAGGTTTGGTTTAATACTTTTTCATGAAAATTATAAAGAGACTTGATGAATATACGTATGGAATTGAATTTATGTTTTGAGTCTCCTATCTTCATGTTAAGTTTTTCAAATGTTGAGATAGAATAGAGCTAATCATTCCTGAATGCCTTCTTGAGTGATTTTATATAAAATTAGCTTAATAATAGAATATTTCTGTTAAGTTGGCTGAAGTGTTCTTTGAGCTTGTTCTCACTTGGAACAAATCATGGAGTGAAAAAAAATCTTAGTTTTTGAATCAGAAGTTTCCTGATGCCTTAAATATTATGTTAAAAAAAAAACAGTGCTAATAGGGCTGGCATTGTGGCAGAACAGGTTGGGGTTCTGGTGGCCCCTCCACTTCCAATCCAGTTCTCTGCTAATATGCCTCAGTAAGCAGTGGAAGATGACCCAAGTACTTGAGCCCCTGCCACTCAACATGGGAGACCCAGAAGGAGTTCTAGGCACCTGGCATCAGCCTGGCTGAGCCCCAGCCCTTGAGACCATTTGAGGAGTGAACTAGTAGATGGAATTAATCTATCTCGCTCGCTCTCTCACTGCTTTTCAAGTAAATAATTCTTTAAAAAAAAGTAGGACCAAGAGGTAAGTGTTCTTGTCACACAGATAGTGCTCACTCATTCTTGCTCTCCTTGCCTCTGCTCTCCAAATAAATATTTTTAAAAATCACTTTGCTGTGTATGGTAATAGCCAAAATGTTTCTCTTGCATATGTACTGAAATACATAATCCTTTGGCTTGAAAGTGATGGTTTTCAAACTCAAAACTATTTTAGCAATGATATCCCTAATTCAATAAAATCTTGTACAAAAGCCTAATAAATAAAATGTAAAAGGAAAATTTTCTATCTGACATGCTCATTATATTCCCTAAGACATTTTAGACTTAGGAAAACATAGTTTGAAAACCATTATACTTCATTTCTCCATTCTCACACCAGCCTTGGTGTAGGAGGGGATGGGTGGGGGGAACTCTTGTCAAGAGGCACATTGGTGCATGTGTTGCTAGAGCACTTGTCCATAGAAATATTTTATGATATTAAAGGAAATCTTTGGAAGTGGCTTGTTTTTTAAGGGGAAAAAAAACCATTATACTAACTCCAAGCCTTTTCATTTGAATGAATGAGATATTATGGATCAAGATTCGTAGAGAATAAATAGATAACTTAATCTAAACAGCCTTTAACTCCAAGGTATTTTTAGTTAATTTTAAATGGAAAGCTGTTTTCAGTAGCAGTTTTATGTAAATAATAGTGTATATTAAGTCATTTACAAATGTCTTTCCCACTATTTAAACTTTTGTAGGTTGTGGTCAAACTTCACCTGAATTAAAAGTCCCTTCTACTTCTAAAGAAAACAGTGTTAATCCAGTACAACCAAATACCAGTGAAATTGTTTGTGAAGTAAATCCCTCTGCTTCAGTGTCTTTAATGGACCGTTCTTCAGAGGCACCCTCCCAGTCTACTGGAGGAACAGGAAGTATGAAATCTATCATTTAAAACAGAAATCATATTGCTTATACATAAATCTTAGAAATTGTGATGAATTTTGAAACTATTGTGGTTATACAACGTTTTTAAAAGATGAATTATAGTCATAAAAGTCCTTAATTTATTTTAGCTGCAGATACCTCATCATCTCAAGATAAAACTGGAAAATCTGTACTAAAAGCTTGTCCAAAGTGCAATTCTGAGTTCAGTCTTTTGGAGCCTTTGAAATTCCACATGAAGGTAAAATTATTTTTAAATTCAATTTTTTAAATGTTTACAAATCCCTGAAAACATTAATGATTCGTATACAATAAATGCTAGTTTATCTAGATATTTAGCTAAATCTAATGTTGATATTTCCATATAACAAGTAACAATTGGTAATTCATAATGATCATCATAATATACAAGATTTTGAAATCCTCCCCATCATGAAATTTTAAAACTTTGTAATATGCATATATTAATCAAAATACTATATTAACTAAAGCTGTTCAAACTTTTTATTAAGCGGGCATTTGTATTAGGTGCCTAATTTTTCATGTAACTTAAAATTTCCTTTTGTTTGTTCATGGTGACCTATGCATGTCATTACTCAATGAAAATCTTAGTTTTGTATTTTAATTTTCAACTCAAAAGTAAACTCCTAATGATAGAGCATTTCATATGAAATGATTTTTAATACAGCCTAGAATATTTTAGATAGAATGTGTTGATTTTCAAAATGTAACTAATACTTCTTTATATCTGACATTTTCTAGCATCTTGAGTTTGGAGAACGGCAGATTAGCTGTGCTCAAAGTCTAGCTACCACCAGGCTTTACTGAAATACTACTGTTTTGATAATTGAGCTTATACATAATGGCATATAGAACTACTCTTTAAAGTTCATCTTGACACAAATATGAAATGTATATTTTTGGATAAGAAATTTCAGATGTAAATATTTGATAAAGAAAAATTACAAGGAAAATTTTCTATATAGATATATAGACATCCCTGATCTTAAGGTTTCCAATTTATTTTTGGAGTTACTTCTGTATGAGGATAATATTTATTATTGGGAGCTTTTTAAAATTTATAAAGAAGGAAATCAACATTTCGGTGAATATCTTGCCAAATATAGGCCAAATATAGTTTCATAAAATCTGGTGCTAGTTATAAACACATAATCATTTTTTAGTATCCAATTTTTAAAAGATATAAGTATGACTTAATGTTTGTTCCTCTTTCAGCATTGTTGTCCAGACATGGTGAATAACTTCTTGGAACTTAAAGTAGAATCTTCACATACTGAAGACACCGCCGAGATTGCTCCGGAGAAGGAGAAATTAATTATGTTAGTTAGTGACTTTTATTACGGAACACATGAAGGAGATACTGAGGCAGAACCAAAGACTTACACAACTTTTAAATGTGTCACTTGCTGTAAAGTTCTTAAAAATAATATTAGGTATGTAAGTACTTTGCATTTGCTTGAAGGTTGATATATTACAGATATGAATACTGTATCTTTAATATTCTGTGCCATCCCTAAATGATTAATACTTTCTCCTAAGAACAGAGGCAGGTTATCCTGTTAAAAAAAAAAAAAAACACACCCTTTAAGATTACAGAGGGATAGACCGAGATCTTCTACCCTCTGGTTCACTCCGCAGATGGCTGCAACAGCTGGGGCTTGGCCAGGCCGGAGCCAGGAGCTTCTTCAGGGTCTCTCGTGTAGATAGCAGGGGCCATAATACTTGGGCAATCTGCTGCTGCTTTTCCCAAGCCATTAGCAGGGAGCTAGATCTCACCTGGAGCAGCTGTTACTTGAACTGGTGCCCATATTGGATACCAGCATTGTGGGCGGCAGCCCCACCTGCTATGCCACAGTGCCAGCCCCTGTAGTTCTTTCTCTTAAGAAGCCTTTTAGGGAAGCTGAAATTAGCAAAATGTAGGACTGAAAAATGTATATCTCGGAGGACTTCAAAAGATTTTTCTCATGACTATAGGTTTTGGTGGTAGGGTTTCTTACCCTTTATTTCATATATGGAAAAGAAGCCTAGTATTGGTCTTTACCAAAAAGAAATGATTTATCTGAAATAATGAAGAATTATAGCAAACAATTTATTTCATATTGACTACATTAATGGATTATTTTAAAAAGAAAAAAGAGTAACATTTACTGAGCCAGTTAATGAAAGTAAATTATTTAGTGTGCATTTCTTTGTAGAGTGCTTCGGCCCTAGAGATATGATTTTGAGTCATGCAACTGCATCTTTAAAATTTAGTTTCAGATACTTGTAAGATTTTTCTTTGGTTATAAATCTGAATTTTTGCACCTGTTGGACTATCATAGGTTCATGAACCACATGAAACACCACTTGGAACTTGACAAACAGAACAGTAAGAGTTGGGAAAGCCATACCACCTGCCAGCACTGCTACCGAAAGTTTTCCACACCCTTCCAGCTGCAGTGCCACATTGAGAATACACACACCCGTCAGGAAGTTTCTAGTAAGAGATAATTTCATTGAGCTTCTAAATATTGATTTGATTATCTGAATTGTGAAGAAATCTTATAAATTCCAACAAATAAGACTAAAAGATTTTATAATGTCAGGGCAAAATTGAAAAACACATTTATAAACCTAAATAAAATTTGTTACTAAAATTGAAGCCTCTTATAAATAATTCAGTAGTGGAAGCTTTCTTGGCATAACTCATGCATTGTGGGTAGGAGACTGTTAGAACACCTAAATTCTGTGGTTTTCAAATTTGAAATCATTGGCTTTGACTTACATTTTAATATGAAAACTATAATGGTAGTTAAAACTCAAAGTTTAGGAGCTGGACAGCTTGGATTCAGATACCAGTTCTGCCTTTTGATTCAGCTACAAGGTCTTGTGCAAGTTACTTATCCTTTCTGTGCTTCTGGTTCTTCAGATGGAGAAACAGAGATGAAAATAGCCATACCAACCTCAGTGATTTTATGAAAATTAAATAAGTTAATATCTGTAGAGCAACATTATAGAGTTTATAGTTACAGAATTTTTAGAACTACCATTACTATTCCTACTATTATTACTTGTTATGGATATACAAAATTAATCTTATACACACACACACATATATATATATATCCCTAGAAGGACATAATTGATTTTTCCCTTTCCAGCTACTTGCAAAATCTGTGAATTATCATTTGAAACAGAGCATGTTCTTTTACAACATATGAAAGACACTCATAAACCTGGTGAGATGCCGTATATTTGCAAGGTATGCATGCATTTTATTTAGTACTTAGTTGTTTTACTTTCATGTGCTATGAAACACTATAGTTTTTCTGATTTTATAAACCATTTGAATAAGGGTCAGTGCTATGGCATAGAAGGTTAAGCTTCCACCTGCAGTGTCGGCATCCCGTAATTGTGCTGGTTGCAGTCCTGGCTGCTCTACTTCTGATCCAGCTCCCTGCTGATGCTCCTGGGAAAGCAGCAGAGAATCCCCAAGTGCTTGGGTCCCTTGCTACCCACATGGGAGACCCAGAAGAAACTGGCTCCTGGCTTCAGCCTGGCCCACCCTGGCCATTGTGGCCATTTAGGGAGTAAACCAACACATGGAAAATATCATTTGCTTGCTCACTCTCCTTCTCTTTGTATTTCTGCCTTTCAAATAATCTTAAACTATTTGAATGATACTGGTTACTATCTGAAAATTGAAGACCTTCTTCACTAGTGAAAGCTCCCTTGGTTTAACTCATGTTTAACATGTTGAGGTGGTGGGCTGGATTTGACCTGTAGACTGTAGTTTCCTGACCCCTGTACTAAACAAAGAAACATGAGCATGTGAGTTTATCATATAGAGAAAAACAGACATGCCAGGGAAATAGGAAGCACTTATAGACAACCCAATTAAATGCTTTGGGATCAGTATTTTTCCAGAATTTGAAGTGGCTCCCTGAAATGAATAAGCAAGATAAACTGCCACTGACATAGCCTGGATGCTATTTAAAGTCTATAAGAAGCCAGCGCCACGGCT